CCGAGCCTTCAGCCTGACTGGTACGCCTACCGGCCTTCAGTCTATCCGGACCGCTCAACTAGAATTCATCATTCCGAGCTATCTCTTCGGGGAGTCCTCTCGTGCATACCGTTCTAGCCCTCTAGGGGTTCCGAACTCTAACTCCATCATACATACTCGATCCCGGCCTGCTCCCAGGCCTTCCACAATCAAATGCCCTAGGTCTGTATTCCGCCCCGCACGCCTGCTACTCACCCATACGAGCCTGCTCTCGGCTGATCGAAATACCGCTGAATTCCCAGAGCAGCTAACCAACCTCTCAAGCCTAACGACCATCCAGAGAATTTCCAATTCTCCCCCACTTAAGACACTGACAATTAATCACCGGTCGCCATCACCGATGTCATAAAGCAACCTTGCAGAAAATCAACACTTACACGCAAAATGTTTCTCACCAGCGCTAACAACTTTCATAAAAAAAATCATGTTTTCACACTGAACAACCCGCTCGAAAGGAACCCAATCTTCAAATATCCATTCTTCAGACTGCAGCGACTACCCGACATTCAACCCAACGCCACAGCCATCACTAATCCTCCTAAAGATAATCAACGATAGCTCGAAGCACTAATCCATAGTCATATCGATCCTTCAGGGAACAAAGGATACCAAAACGAAATCCCGAACACAACTCGCCAAACCCTCAAGGAACAACGGATACCACACGAAAACTCGAAACACAATTCCTTAACCATCCAACGAGACTAGCAGATACGATACTCCATAATAATCATAAATAATCAAAACAACAGAAAGAAACATACCCGCAGCAGCAAGTTGAAAAGCACGACCCTAAGCCCTTGGGGGCTCCGCTCCACCCTGACCTCCACCTGTGATCCTCAACGTAGCCGGTGCTGGAGCCTGCACCGGTCCTGCAGCAAGCTGTGTACAGTTGACCCTCAAATGTCCAACCTGATGACAATGATAACATATCCTCAAGTCCCGAACCGACACTGACTGTCGACAATCCCTCGCATAGTGTCCCTTCTTTCCGCACTTGCGGCATGCTCCACCGGACCGACAAAATCCGGCATGACCCTTTCCACACTTTCCACAGACGTGGCTACCCTGATCTCCCATCCTGGAATCAACGGTCTTAGACCGTTTCGTCGTCGGCTGCGACTGAACCGGAGCTTGCCTCAGCTCACGCATCTGCAACTCAATCTCTAACTCACGCCGCCTGGCGGCCTCCTGCAACTCCAACAAGGTCCCGCACCTCTGTGCGGACACAAACTGTCTGATGTCTCTCTTTAGCATACTCAGATATCGGGACATCTGAGCCTGCTCCGAAGCGAACTCAGGGAAAAACATCGCCCTCTCAGTAAACATCCTGGTGATTTCCGTCACCAACTCTGAATCTTGTTTCAGCTCCAAGAACTCCTGAGCCAACCTCTCCTTCTCGACCTGCGGAACATAACGAGTGCTGAACATCTCTCTGAACTAATCCCATGAAATCGCAGCCCTCTGCGCATCCGAGTACGACCCCGTGGTCAATCTCCACCAATCCTTTGCCCCGAGCCTCAACAGGTTCAGAGCACACCTCACCCTCTGATCAGCAGGGCACGAACACGTGAAGAAACACCCCTCCACATCTGATATCCATCTCATAGCAACGATCGGATCCTGAACTCCATCAAAGGTGGGAGGCTTCGTATTATCGAAGTCCCGATACTGAAAACCTCTACTAGTTCCTCCCCCTGTCGCTGCTACAGCCGCTGTAGCCGCCGCGGCAGCCGTCTCTGTGAGAGCCGCATAGCGCTCATCAAAATAGTCCACCATGGTGGTCTTGATCGACCCAAACAACTCCGGCAGCTCAGCCTGAAACAATGCAGCAACCTCATCATGCAGGATCTCACGAATCCTCGCATCCAACTCGCGCGTACTCATCTGACCGACAACCTCGAGCTGTACGGACCCACCCGTAACTCCCTCTCCTGCTCCTGATTCTGACTCGGATCCACTCCCAGCCTGCCCTGAAATCTCCATACTGAAAATAAACCACCAAAAATCTCAGACACCTCCCACCATCCCGGGAACCAACTCTCAACCCAACCCTAGAGGTCATGGTTTCCCTAATACGCGTATGGGTCCTGTGCTTTCAGTAGTACGGGCCCATACTACCTTCCACACCTACCCATATTTGTATGAAGTACTTCCACAACACCCTAGCGAAAACATACATAACAACGCTCTATCTTCACAATTAGAGGAACACTAGAAATCTCTCACAAGAAAACCCTAGGCTAGCAGGCATCATAAATCAGGCAACACATCAAGAAATCCTGAAGATTGCTAGCCTAACTCTAGCATGCTGTTCTATCAAAGCTCAATAAAACAAATATCATGTATGGTATTTTGGGGTTACTTACTGGCTCCGGCTGATCGTACCTCCGCGTCCTCCTTTACTTATTTTGAAAACCATTTTAAATTCTCTTTTGAAAACTCTCCTCGATTTGAGACTGGAGTCACACAAGTGTTCCTCCAATTCACTCAAACCAAGGCTCTGATACCAACTTGTAACAACCGAAAAATCCAGCCAATTTAAATTTTCAAAAAAAAAAAAAAAAAAACAATCCACTTTAATAACACTATTACAAAAGGTTTTCAATACATTATTCATCAGAGTATTCCCAGGTTCATTTTATAAACATAAACGCGAGGTACGGTACGGTCACGCCTTTGCCTTGCCACTGCTCCCTGAAGAACCTGAAAAACATTAAACCACAACTGTAAGCCCGAAAGCTTAGTGAGATACCCCCAAGATACCAACCTCATATACCATACACATATCGCACTATCTCATAACGAATCACAGAACAGTCATGCATAACGGGTATACTGTGGGACTGGTCCGCCATGACGGGCCTTCAGTCCACCTGGTCCACCCTCCGAGTCCAATCAAGTACCTCGAGTCTACAGTGTGGTTGGTCCGCCCGCACTGGGCCTTCAACTCACCTGGTCCACTCTCTGAGTCTACAGTATGACTGGTCTGCCCGCATCGGGCCTTCAGTCGGCCTGGTCCACTCTCCGAGCCTCGGTACGTCTGGTCCGCCTGCGTGGGGCCTACAGCATATCCGGACCGCTCGCTGGGCCTTCAGAACAACCGGTCCGCCCTGAGTATCTTGGCCTACAGCACAAAGCAGGACCGCCTCAACCCATCTCCAGTCCAAACAACCATGTACACATAAACATATAATCATATAACAGTTCACCTTCAAACAAGTCGATCTAGCAGATCACATAGCATAACATACTCTAAGCAGGATACCGACCTAACAGGTCATTAGCATAGCATCTCCCTATCTCTCAGGATATCGATCTCAATCATGTCTCTAACATATACCGTCCTAACTCCTAGGATGTAATCATATCACAACAACAAAATAACAACAACTACCCGGATCTCAATCCGATAAGGGCCGGCCTTGGTGCCTTAGACCCTATTGATATAGTGAGGATAACTCACCTCGAAACTGCCGGTTGAAAGGATAAGATCCCGCTGCTCCAACTCTGACACGAACTCCTCCACTGAACACCAAAACATTCAATTCAATAAATACCCTTAATTACCAAAATACCTCTGGAAGACAACTGGTCAACCTTTTGGACAAGGTCAAAGTCAACCCCTGACTGATTCTACTCGCCGAGTCAACCCCATGACTCGCCGAGTCCCCAAGTTCAGAACTTCCCTCAATCCGCGACCTGACACGCCGAGTCACCCCGAGACTCGTCGAGTCCAACCACTCTGAGTCTACTCGCACCCAACTTACCGAGTCATCCCTTGACTCACCGATTCTCGACTCAACCATATAAATTATTGGGACTCTTCGACAAGACTCGCCGAGTCCAAGAACAGACTCGCCGAGTCTAAGGCTATCTTCAACCTACTCGCCGAGTTGTTCTTCCAACTCGCTGAGTTCCAGGCCATCTTCAAGCAACTCGTCGAGTCCACCCATGTGACTCGCCGAGTATCACCGGTCTGAATCAATTCAGAAGCACTCCAGGCCATGCAATTGATCCAAAACATAGATCTAACCTCCTACAATCCATCCATCACGTAAAGTGGCAAACTTTACGTGAATCCAAAGAGATCTAGGCCTTATTCACCTTAGAACTATGTTTTGGGACATGATAGCTCCATTAACAACACAAGAACAGGGGCTTTAATGCTCTTAAGATCTTCTCCACTCCAGATCTGAGGTAGCAACCTCAGATCTATCCTTCAAACTCAAGATGTCACACAACTAAGCTTTCTACACAACCCCAAAAATGAGAATCTAAGAGAACACAACCCAAGAACGAAATATTACCTCCAAAGAATGCCCCAACAGCAATGAAACTCGAATCCAAGCAAAGCCCTTTGATCCAAACCTCTTCTCCTTCAAGATTTCTTCAACAAACACCTCTCCAAGCTCCAATTTGCTCAACAATGGGGTTCCTCCACGAAATTAGGGTTTCTGGGACTCAAGGGGGATCAAGGAGGCTGTGGAGGAAACATAATGATCCTTATATAGGGCTCATTCCCCGGATTTAGGGTTTTCTTCACCCAGCACCTACTCGCCGAGTATCACCTTTGGACTCGCCGAGTAG